TGGGTTTTCTTCATTTGTGTAGATTTTTCTCTCTCTCCCCCTTTCCCTCCCCTTCTTTAAATTCTGTTTTTCAGGGAAGGTGGGGTTGCTTTGGTTTTGCTTATGCAAACTCCTGTTCTTCCTTATGAGGGTCCTCTGGCTTTGTTCATTTTTGAGGTTGGAGTGTGGTCTGCAGGCTGTACTTTTTGCAGTTTTGAGGTTTAATTGAGGGGGAAACTGTGATTCAGAATCTATATGCTGATTCCAGCATCCACCAACAGGTGTATGAGCACACTGGAACCTATTTCCCACTGCCTTACAATCTGTCTGTGCAGCAGGATGTAGGTTGGTCCCTGGATCAAAAGGAGGTACAAAAGAGGAAAATAATGGAGGAAGGGGGGATCAATAGGAAGTTAGAAAGAGAGAAGAGTAAGAGGGAAAACAGACATAAATACCAACTAGCAGGTGCGGGTGGCCTTGGGTCCCTCACAGGGTACTTCAGCCAGAAATGGGACCGGTATCTCTGAGGGGTGGGCGCCCAGAGCCTCCCTGGGTGACCAGAGGCTTGGTGCTGGGTGTTGGGCAAGAGGATGTAGCCAGGGAGGGAGCCGAGACCTGAGACTCCCGCACGGACGGGAGTTACACATATAGTGGAGCAGCAGCAGCCGGGTGCCACAATATCTGGCCCTGCGTAGGACCAAAGGTCTCTGGGCCTTGGACCAGTGAGGCTTGTGGTGGGCTGGGGGGTGGGGGAAGAAAAGTAAGAGTCTTTTTAGCAACTCACGTTCAGAGAATCTCACAAGTCCACCTATGCTGTTGCCATCTTACTGGAACTCTCTGTATATAATTTTATGTAAGAGTTTAAAATTTGAACCCACACAAATGACAATACTGGCTTTTTTTTTTTTTTACAAGGGTGCTTACAAATTCAAGAAAACATACATCACATTACAACATTATAGCTATTTCCTGTAGTGGGAAAGAGAGCAGTAGTTGTATATAAATAGTATATAAGTAAGAAAAAGGGCTCGTGTATGAATCCTTGATGATGTTATGTCTTGAATGAGTATGATTAGCTCAACCCTGGCACCTGGAATTATTAAAAAAAGGGAGTGTGAAGAAGAAAGGGAAGGCTGGTTATATGGAATTGAAAGCTGGGCAGATTTAATATGAACATCAGCTGAGAAGGATTAGTAAATTTGGAAAGACATGTGAAGCACATATAGCTCATGGGTCCATTGTGTGGACCTGCTTGGGTTCAGGCTGCTTGGATTGAATAGGCAAATCTTCCTAATTCTGTGGTTTTGCCAGTAGGTCCAGCTGGATTCCACACTTCAGCTGAGCTTAATTAGTAATGGCTTCCATTCTTACTTTCTTGCTCAAATTGCTCATCAATGTGTAAGAGAAGTGGTGCTATTTGTTGGGAGCATCTCTTGGAAACAGCTTTCAGAGGCATGTGAATAAAACTGTGTTCTTATTATTCGCCAACCAATTTTCCTACTATCTTACCTACCTAGATCAAGGTACAGTTCAGACTTAGCAAACAAAACAAAACAAAACAAAACAAAACACCCTAACATACTAAGGCAAAGAGTAAAGGAGCTGTTCTCACCACCAGAGGGGGACAAAGCTGTTATTGACTAAGGTTTGTATGTAAAAATGAGTTTACAGGCCAGGTTAGGTGGCTCAGCTTGTAATTCCAGAACTTTGGGAGGCAGAGGCAAGTGGATTACCTGAGTCCGCAGGTTTGAGACCAACCTGGGCAACTTGGTGAGTCTCTGCAATAAATAAAAAATTAGCCAGACGGGGTAGTGCACGCCTGTAGTTCCAGCTACTTGGAAGGCTGAGGTGGAAGGATCTCTGGACTTCAGCAGGTCGATGCTGGGGTGACCGTGAGTGTGCCACTACACTGTAGCCTGGGCAATGGAGTGAGACTCCAACTCAAAATAAATAAATAAATAAGAAAAAAAATGAATAAATTCACAGATTAAACAAACTTGCTTATCAGGTTTTTGCTGGAGATGTTCAATTATTACTATGTTACAAGGGTGGGGTATTCTAGAAGAAAAAATGAAAAGGGTGGTGCCGCAAGCATGCTGGGAACAATGGTCAGCAAAGAAGGTAGCAGGGGGCCAAGCAGCACTTAAAACCCTAGTTATCCTGAAAGGCTTTGTCCAGTGCAATAACCAATATCCCCAGCCTCAGGATCAAGGGAATTTCTGTTCAATATATTCCACTCATTAAGTGAGACAACTTCTAATACATTTTCAAAAGATTGTCATTTAAGGAAAAGACCTCTGAAATGGTTAACTTCGGCTATTTGAGAAATCATCAATGTGCCACACCTAATTCCCCAGTCTTATTTGATAAATGAGGTATTATTTAATATTACCAATTTAAAAGAATTGTACATTTGCAAAGTCTACTTTTTATACTCTCCTAAAAGTGTGCTCCTTATTCCTCTCTGTAGTTAGCTGAGTAATAAAGCCAAGTTCGTTATTATGGGTTTTGTATACCCCTGAGGTATTTTCTAAAGCCAATTAAACATGTAGGTGTTTTAAACAAAGAAGTATCTTCAACTTAAACTGTTATCCTGAATGCTCTATTGCTTTATAGAATGATGTGAATTTGCAATATGTATATTTTATATTGTGCAATTGTAGACCTTGAAAAGGAGAAACGTAGTTAAATAGTAATCTGTAACACAGTTATATTGCATGCATAGCTGGGTTTGCAAATATTCTTTTTAAGAAATTAGAACGATAATAATGCCTTTTAACTTTTCTTCAGTTCCAGTTTGTGGAAACTGTGATTGTGTTTGAAAACCTTGGCTGGTGATAATGCTTCCAATATCATTGGAGCACATATCTTCCAGTGTGTTAGAAAACACACATCTAATCTCTGGCATTACCATATTCACTCAGATGCTCAGCTCTTCATGCACACTGAATCAGAAAGAATTGATATGAATAAGTGTAGACATCTTTATAATACAGAGTAGAAATCTGCTGGGAATTCTTTGTCAGATAAACTCCAGAAGCTGGACATAAACAACTTTTTAAAAATTATTTTTCTGCTTAAAATGCAATATGTGATTATTGTAAAAAAGTAAAATGCTTCAGAAGTATAAGACAGGGTTAGTTTTCTATCTTTTAAAATTCTCTTTCCTCAGCTCACCCTCCTCAGATAACCATTTTGTGTGTATTGTTATACTTTGTATGTATTCCTCCAGAACTTCTAAAACTGAGCTTTGATTTTTGCCAATATAGTAATGATATAATGCTTATATTTAAATATAAGCATTATATCATTACTATATTGGCCATCATACAATTGAAATTATTAAATGCAGATAAAACTTGATTTAATATATGTAAAATAATAATAGGGACTTTGAGGAATCACTTTACAGCGTTAGACCTGATGCATTTTAGACTCAATTTTTTTTTTTACAAGTAGTGCTAGTTAGATTTGTTTTTCTTGATTCCCACAGTCTTCCTCACTCAATCCAGCATGACCCCAACTTGTTATATATTCAGTGGAAACTTGCTTTTGCACTACCTGTACCTTTTTACTTTGAATAATTCTAGAATAAATTACTTTTCTATTTTTTCTCTTCTTTGTAGGAAAAAAGTCAGCTAGTATAGGCACTAGGCAAAGTCGTATAGGCACTACTTTGGTGAAAGTAGTAGCTGTTTGGGGATGGTTATTGCCAAGTTCTTTGGGTCCTGAATAAATAAAAAGCTTAATAATTTGTCATTTTATACTTTGAAGTACATTAAAGAGGTAGGTAATTGACCTCTGTTGATTTGCAACCAAAACTGTTGGCATATCAAATGGGGTTGGGTGAAAGTAAGTAGAAGAATCATTTTCAATTTTATATTTTTAATTAAGAATCATTTTCAATTTTATATTTTTAATTGTCAATGGATAAGAGTGCTTACTAAGTATAGATAAAAGTCTCTAATAAGAATGTTGCAATATTTTTCACCAGTAATTGAAAAGACAAATAGTTCTAAGTTCATTCGTTAGTTCATTCACTCATTTGATGTTTGGTTAGTGCAGCCATTCATCCATCCATCCATCTTTTCACCCATCCATTCTTTTAAAAAGTGTTTTTGAGCCATGTGTGGTGGCTCACTTCTGTAATCCCAGCATTTAGGGAGGCTGAGGCAGAAAGATCGCTTGAGCCAAGAAGTTCGAGACCAGCTTGGGCAACATTGTGAGAACTTGTCTCTACAAAAAGTAAAAAAAAAAGAAAGAAAGAAAAGAAAAGTACTGTTGAATATCTTCTCTGGGCATGGAACTATGGGAAGATAGTAAAAGCCCAAACAGAAAACACCTATGGAATCTCCAAGCAGCTAAACATTAACAGCCTAGTTACAATTCTTGGAGTGATTTGGAGTGAGGTCATTTTTGTCAAAAAAGTCATAAAGTTGATTTATATAAGCCTGAAGTAAATTGCCTCAGAAATTAAAATTAGAGGTAGGTTTTTATATTTCAAGGCTTTATCCTGGGAGATCTTGATTTAATAGATCTGGATCTGCTTACATAATTATTAATTATGAGTTCTCAATCAAATTGCTTTATTTGTCAATGCTGGAGTCCTTATCTATAATAGAGAGATAATGAAACCTACTTCTCAAACTTATCAGGGATATTAAATAAAATCTTATACATGAGAGCCTTTGCAATTCAAAAATGTATAGTTCTAGGGTCACTTTTACCCATTTCAATGAGGTAAAAACACATTTTCAGATGTATAGAAAGATTTTTCTTATTTTGTATAAACATAGTGGTTTGCACAAGGGCTAGTGACATCTTGTGCTAACGTAAAATTAGTCAATTTTGGTAAGCCAGGATAAATTCATATCTAAATATTCTGTTCATTTGATTCCACTGTAGGGAGGAGGGCTGGAAGAGGGAAAGGGTGGACAGAAGGTGCTGAAATGTGGGATCAGAAAATAAGAGTGGGCAGGAAGTGACAGTGTGGAGCAGTAACTGTGCAGAGATGGCTTTACCATTGATGGTTTAATGCTGGCGATCATTCTGGGGCTGATCATCTCAGTCAACCTGAGGGCCCATTGAGATTCTGAAAGCATACCTTCTAATCCTAGAATGCTAGCTTTGGGAAACTTTATCAGGGAATCCGTCCACACTTAGACCATGCTCCTGCTCATTCCTCTCATACGAACAGGGCAATTTTGTAAGAGTTTCAATAGGAAATGATAGGTATGCACCTTACAGTTCTGATTCAGCTCTTTTGGACTTCATTTTGTTTCATAGTGTTAAGAGGTCTGTAAAGGGAACCCACTTTTTTTCAGTTAATAGTATAAAAAAACTGCATCGACATGGTTACATTCCCAGAAACCCCAGTTATTTCGGAGTAGACTAATGGGCTGATAGCATCTCTTATAAAGTGTCTTTTTGATGGAGCTTATGTTGAGAAATAAAACTTACATATGTTATTTTTTAAAAAAAATCCTAGAATGTTAGCTCTAGAAGAGAACACACAATTAACCATTCCAGCCCTTTCACTTCTGGAGGAGGAAATACCAGAGATGTTAAGTGACTTGCCCACCGTCACACAATTAGTGTCTGGGGCATATGATAATTTGACATAAGCTAATTTTACACGGGGCCACTTTAGAGTGTTAAAAAACAAGTTAGTGAATTTCCTTGTGTCCTTATTTTTAACTAATGTGTGAAACAGACTTGGGTTTCATCCTATTCCTGACTCACCCTGATGTCAGAATCAAGGATGGGATGAAGTGAGCGGGCTCAGTCACAAACTGCCAGAGCACGTGTAACCAGCAGCATACACTGACCACACTTACTACTCCTAGAAGTACCTTGATTCCATGAGAGCTGTCACAGCTCTCAATTGGATCACCCAGGGTTACCTTTCACGGTTGTGAACAATGTTTATTTCTATTTACTTTCTATCTATGAACATATTTGTTTTCATAACAAATGAAACTAGTCTAATTTTCACTTGACTTTCTATGTGCCTTAGCTGACTATAGGTTTCCTAACTACCAGTTTTGTTTAATTGGGTATAGATAAGACAGGTCATGGTAGGAGGGATATTTGGACCACAGTGTAATAATCCTTCAGACTGCTCAGAAAGCCCACAATTCAATTTCATCTTCTCTCAGTATACAGTAATATATACTACACTTAAAACTGTCAAACACAGGGCTGGGCTCAGTGGCTCATACCTATGATCCCAGCTCTTTGGGAGGCCAAGGTGAGAGGATTGCCTGAGCCCGGGGATTTGAGATCAGCCTGGGCAACTTGGTGAGACCTCATCTCTACAATAAATCAAAAAATTAGCTGGGCGTGGTAGGATTGCCTGAGCCCAGCAGGTCGAGGCTACAGTGGCCGTGAGCGTGCCACTGCACTACAGTCTGGGAGAAAGAGTGAGACTTCAACTCAAAAAAACAAAAACCAAACTGTCAAATACTACTATAATGTTGATTTTGAACAACCTTTTTGCAACATTTTAAAAATTGTACCTTCATTGCCCTTAAAAATTATAAAAGTAATAGATGTATGGAAATTTCTAACAATGTAGAAATGAACAAAGCAGAAAAAGTCTTGAAATAGGGCAGGGTTAGAGAAGGATAAGAGTCAAGGATATCTACAGTAAAAAACAATGATGACATTTTGATGAAGGTCAAGTATTATGACTCAGTAGTTCTAGGACTGGGGCTACAGCTCTCTAGCTTTCTAATTTGAGGAAGGACCTGTGCCACTATCATGCTGCTTCTTGGGGTAGCCCACATAGGCATTTCCCATATACGAGCCCCTGTTCTTCCTTGTGTAAAGAGCTCCAGGACAGCAGGATGCTGTGATAGAAAAAGGTCAGTGTCAACATCAGGCCCAGGTTCAAACCCTGCTCTGTACTGAGTAGATCACTGGAATTTCCAGTCTCAGTTTTCTCGTCTGAACCTGTATATAAAAACCACTCTGCAGTATTGTAAGGATTAGGTGGCTAGCCTTGGTAACAAGGAGTTCAATAAGTGGTAGCTATTACGATTGCCACCACCAAATGCCCTCAATGATAGTAGATTCTCAGAGATCAATACAGGTTGCTCCAGAGGAATTTCCTGGGGACAAATTTTAATGAGCTTAGAAAACTGGTGGTGTATTCCAGAGCAACCAACAACAGGCATGTCATCTGCATGGGTCTTTGAAATCTGTTATAAAGGTGTGCAGTCATTCTTAAGAGAAACATCAAAGACATAGTTCTCAAAAGTATCATTCATCTCAGAAGAGTGTTTGTATGACTATTCTATCAAACAGGAAGTTGTATAAACTTCGGAATGTATTAGGAAACTTTCTAAGTGGGTAGTCCCTGGTCTCTTGTGGGAGAGTAATAATATTAACTAATTAGGGACAGATCAGTTCACACATATCGGACAATACTATTTAGAGAATGGAAAATGTAATCCAGACTGATACAGTAGCTTTCACAATCCTAGATATGTATTTTATACCTCAAAGATCCTCTGTAGCAAGTGAATTGCAGTCCTGCATGGCATTTGTTAATATTACAAACGAACGAAAACAACTCAGTTCAATAAAATTGTTATTATTCAGTGACTGTTTAGAATAGTGGCAGAAGTAAGCATTTAGAATGTCAAAACAAAAGTCAGAACAGTGTACAAAATGTGCCATCTTAGTCTCCCCCAGATTAGATTTTCACTGTCTATGTGCTTGCATTTCAGCAATGCCATGATAAATGTCTAAATCGACAGGGCCAAGAGAAACACAACTAAGATCGGACCAAAGACTTCAGAAGAAAACAGATTATAGCATGAAGTGCCCTGAGAGACCATATTGCTTTTTTTATTCCATGGGCATCATGATTTGACATGAAAAAGGAGGGAAACATGAATATGTCACTAGGTTCATATTTAGTCTGTATTTATCTTTCTTCTGTGAAATTATCTTTACTCAGTAGCTGAGTCTATAGTGTCTCATTATTAACAGATGGTGGAAGATGACCTAGGGTGCCAGTTACAAACCGTAACAGAGAAGATGTTTTTCTGAGAGAATTCAGTGTTGTCTTTTTGATCATGTAAATTGCTGGTGCATACATTTTTCCTTACCTTTCATGATGCGAACAAAGTAAAATAGCTTCTAAATTCAAGTTGCTGTTGGAATTCCAATTCCTATTGCTGTTTGCAGGAAAAAATATACATTTTCTTCTAGACTCTATTTTCTAAGAATAGGAAAAATATATAAAATGAATATCAGGCTTGCAAACACTGGGCTTATATTAATGGAACCAGTATACATTAAAGTTGTTTTTGCACCCATTTCTCTGAGGGTAGATATCTGCCAAAAAGTTTGTAAAAGTGGGTCCAGCATTCAAAGAGAGGTTGTACTAGAATTATACTTTCTCATACTAAGAATTTTAACACACTCAATTATTGAGATTGAGGTTAAAGCAGGTAGAAATGATTTATTCTAAAAGTCAAGTATTAGCTGGGCTCGGTGGCTCAGCCTGTAATCCCGCGCCTTTGGGAGGCTGAGGTGAGTGGATTGCCTGAGCCCAGGGGTTCGAGACCCGCCTGGGCAGCGAGACCTCATCTCTACAATAAATAAAAAAATCAGCTGGGCATGGTAGCACATGCCTGTAATTCCAGCTACTTGGAAGGCTGAGGCGGAAGGATCGCCGGAACCCAGCAGTTCGAGGCTGCGGTGGCTAGGAGCAGTCACTGCACTCCAGTCTGGGCAACAGAGTGAGACTTCAACTCAAAAATAAATAAATAAATCAAGTCAATTATTGAAGTTAGTTAAAAATTAACTTTAAAAAATAAAGAATTGAGATTATCCTTATGATGTTCCTGTCACTCATGTGAATTTCTTTGTAACCTATATTTTTATTGTGGAAAAATGTCTCAAAATATTAAACGTCACTAAAATTGTATACTTTTGTCAGAAGTATTTTTTTTTAGCAAAGCTTTTTAAAAAAATTTATTCTTTTTGAGACAAGCTTTCAAAAGGCATCAAGTTTGTATTTCTTGTTCTAAATCAGCGATATTGGTAGTTAGCTGTATGTAGCTGTTTACCAATATAAAACAAAGCTACTGCTCTACAAGTAGCTGATTAGTCTTACTCATTTTCCCATCAAATCACATAGTTCAAACAAAAGATGAGTTTTGATTAGTTTAGCTTTTCAGTTGTTGGGGTTTGTCATACTTCCACTCTGTGTCACACTGCCACCCTGTGGACATGAGGTTTTTCAGCTTTTTAGCAAGTCTTTTAATAAGCAACTAGTATTCCACCTAAAAAGTATCCAAGGCAAACAGTCATAAATTGTAACTCTTAAGTGAATATATGAACATTTTAAGCATTACTTATTAAGTGAGAATTTGAAAAATTGTTTTCTACCAAATGAAACTACGTAAAATGATAGTTACTGTGTAAATCAGTTTCTTTAAACCACACAACTAATCTCAGAAGCAGATTTTCAAGAATTGCCTTTCGAGCTAAGTCTCAGTCTAGGATGACCAGCTGTCTAAATTTTTTCTGAGACTACAAGTTTTCCTAGGACTCAGAACTTTCAGTGCTAACGCTGAGGAAAGTTCTGAGGAAACTGGCCAGAGTTGATCACTGTAAGTGTGACACATATATTGCTGTCTTGCCCAAGGATTTTAGGCTTCTTTCTTTCTAGTACTTTGTTGCAGACTTATGGGAGCTCACAGAAACCTCTTTAGGGCAAAAGGAGAGTTTGATGAATTAAAAGTAAATAGATTCAATGTTATTACCCACATTATTTATTATAGCCTCAAAATGAGAACAACCAAAATGTTCACCAACTGCTGGGTAGATAAAGAATATGCGGCATATTCATACAATAGAATATTGTTCAGCAATAACATGAAGTACCGACTGATGCTATAACATGGATAAACCCTAAAGACATTATGCTAACTGAAGATGGCAGACACAAAGGCCCATATATTATATGATTCATGTATATGAGATATCCAGAGTCGACATATCCTTCAAGACAGAGAGTAGATTAGTGATTGCCAGGGTCTGGAGGGAGGGGTGACTGGTAATGATTA